GTTCTCCTTGTCTTTATCACCTTTCTATAAATTCCTTTGTTTTATTGATTCAATAACTTGTTGATTTCAGTTAAACAAACGCAATTCTTTCATGATTTCTATTTAGACCAGAACAAGTGTTTTGCACGGGAATAGTAGCATAAGCTTGTTACCTGCAATTCTACAATTAGTAAATGTAGAAGCACAAGGACTGAATTCTAATTAAAAATTTCTATTAATTCGTTTCAAAGGCTCGCTTTTTTGCTTTTGCGGGATTTACAAAGGGTTACTAAGGCAACTACGTGGATTACCGTCTGTAGCATCACGTACGTTACAAAATCAGAAATTAATAATCGCTTTTGAGGCGATCTTCTCTGTTTCCGTTTAGGTTTAAGTGGACGTTTCCTAGTTGTAAATGGGGATGCTTTCCTATACGCGAAATGTGGAAATGATGATCAAAAGATTATTAAATTAAATCCGACCAAACCATATTATAGGCAGGCATATTGGTCAGACCTAAATTAAATTGAATGCTATGAAACTTAAAAACAGTCCTGCAGTATTTTTTCATAAAATTCGTTGAACTTTTTTATACAGTTTTCACTATTTCAATGCCGTTTCCCTGCAATATGCGGAGGGGATACCAGCAATAGTGATCGGATACAAATAACGCATACTTTTATAGTGACAAAACATGGACAGTGGGCGCCGAAAAAATGGTTAGAAATGAGGTGTTACAGGCGAATGATGAGGATACCGTGGATAGAGAAGGTTAGAGATGAAGAGGTATTAGAGAGAATAGGAGAACAGAGGACTCTACGGAAGTTAATAAGAAATAGGCGAGATAGGTTGGTAGGACACCCTGTAAGGCATGAAGGTCTAGTCAGTGACATATTAGAGGCAGAAACAGGAGTTAAGAGGGGTAGAGGTAGACTTAGATTAGATTACTGTTCGCAAATAGTTAAGGATGTGGGTTGTTCAAGTTTTAGGGAAATGCGAAGTTTAGCTCAAGATCGGAAAGAGTGGAGGTGCATGTCTAACTAGTCTTAGGACGGACGACCTTTTTGATGAAACTCATTTTGAATATTAAATCGTACCAAGATCCCAAATAAAGTTGGAAGTATTTAAGAAAGTATAGATAGTATGAAAAATTAAATGAAATAATGGTCAATTATTTGCGGTGCTAATTAGTGAAGTATTTTCCCATTTTATTGTCCCTTATTGGTCATTTACTTCTGTTCACAAATATTTGTCATCCATCATCCAATATTCTCAGTCTCTGACGCACTTCTGTGTTAAATTTCAGGAACAGAAAGCGCTATTTTATATTCGATTACACTATAAATGGTAGCGTCGTGATTAAAAATGCTTAGATATATATATATTTTTTATTAAAAAATTCCACAGTAACCCGTTGCCTGGTTCAATTACTTTAATTGCCACTAGAGAGAATTTTTACGCTTTGCTTGAGCATTTGTGAAGAATAATAATAAGTACTAGCAAATGCGAGGTTTGAATTTCCTAAGAATCCATTCAACTACTTGCAATAACTAACATTCTTAGTTCTTTTAATTAATTGTTGGTTTCAGGAATCTTCTATCTGTAAGACAATATACCATATTAAAACTCACCACAACTGTATTTATTCTTTCTTTAATTTTTGTAAATGATAATAACATAACATCTCATTTTTATTTTCAATTGCATTATGTTTTAAGTTGTCTTTGCAATTAACAGCTATAATACTTAAAAGTGGTAGATGTTGACAACACTAAAGAGATTAAGTCCTTGATTTTGTACGTAGGTAATCCTAATCCTAACAACTACAAGAGAGATGATACTTTAAGTAATTAACTATTTTACTTTTTGTGAATGCTCGATAAATACAGAAACTGCAAAATTTCAGTAGATATATCTGCAGATGCTTACCATTCCAATACTTATGATGAAATTTGAGCATGTTAAATTGATGAACTCCGAGTTCTGGATTGGAGTTGTATTATTCATTTTTAAAAAGTAGGAAATAGAAAAGTCTGTTGAAATTCACCAGGCTTGCTCGCGGTTAGGACGCAATAAAACGATTTCAATAACGAGCAGAGAATTAGAATTTATTTTGATAGCAGCCCTGCATGTTTGGAGGACCATTTTCCCGTTCAAATTTCTCATTATTTCACAATCAATTACGAACGTTGAATGAAAAACTATTTTCCATATATATTCGTAACCAGCAGATTGAAGGTTCGTTATTAAAACTCAATTTGCGATCCAATTTTTCTGTGGCTGTATGCTCATTTTAAAATGCCTCACAGAAAATATTTTTCCGTTTTTGACGAAGTAGTGAAGAGAACACTTTATACGATAATAGTCTTACGGACCTGTTACGATAGAACATATTCCCTATTTTCCTAGAAATAGGACATCTCACATAATTGTAAAGGATACCTATCCATTATATTCAGGAAGTTATTATCTTAACCCTATACAACAGGATTCTCATAGCAACCTTTGCCAGAAATTGTTTTCTAACTACCCTGTAAAACGTCTTCATAGGGAAAATTTTATGAAAAGGTATCTTGAAAACTAGGTGTCATACGTAGCACTAGTGCAATTTATTCAACCAACTAATTTAGTTTTTCTGGCTTTCAGTTAACAATAGTAGATACTACACTAGAATGAAATCAAAACCAATTAAAACCTTTGCTATATGTGTTTTAGCTAATTAGCTGATTGAAGAGATCTTTACCTAACTTAAATCTTTCAAAAGTCAGTCATTTAAAGGAAGAAAGTTCTTTCTTTTTTATGTTCTTTTCTCTTGTAATCGATAGGTACATTCACGTGCCGCTCCTGCAAACGATCAGGTTTAAAAACAGCTTTGTTGGGTCTTTATTGAGCAATTAATTACACGGGATTACTAATTTTGATAAAATTTATTTCATATAACTTCAGAAAAGGTAAATTATCTCTTAAGCGTTAGGTATTATTTTTTATCATCATCAGCATAAGATCGTCAGTTCATATACCGGGCTAATCTTCGTATTTCACTAAAACTAGAAAATCCTTAACTATTTGTCAAAAGTAATCTAATCCAGGTTTACCTATACTCCTACCAGCCTATCTCGACTATTTCCTATTGATTTCCATAGCGCCCTCTGTTTTTCTAATACCTCTTCATTTATAACCTTCTCTATCTAACAGTATCACCTGTAACACCACATTTCTTTTTCGCTTCGCTCATCGTTCATATTTCACACCCGTACAGCGCCGCACTCCAGTCATAAATACCTTTAATAACCTTTTTCGAATTTCTAAATTGACCGTTCGCTAGCATAGAAGTGATTTCTTTTTGGTGAAGACGACTCGACCCTGCGCTATCCTCTGTTTTCTATCTCTACTCCTCCTTCCATCCTGAGGTATTTGACTTCCGATAGATACCGAAAATCAGCCACTTCTTCTAATCATTCGTCTCCTATCTGTATAATCGCTCTTTTGCTACTTTTTCTTCCCTTTCATTCCAATATTTTTGTTTTACATTATTTATTTTCATACAATACTGTTTTGTCAATACCGCTTTCATTTTATTTAAAACTATCTCTAACGCCTCCTTGCTATATGCTAATACTGCTACATCATCTGCAAATCTAAGCATACTAATCTTTTGCTCATGTAAATCTATCCCTGCAGTTGTCCTGTCTTTAATCATATTGATCTCTTATTCGATGTATAGATTAAAAAGCAGCGGTGACGGCATCCTTATCTGTCTCCCTTCCTAATATTTACTTCCCTACGTTATTGCTCAACCCCTATAACTGTCTATTTCTCTTTATACAAACTATGTATTTTTCTAAATCTACGGATTCTGTGTATGCTCTTTCCTTTTTCTAACGTTAGCCTTAGGTTAGGTAGAATGACCCTCCGCGTTACTCTTTTCGAAACCGAAATTGGTCTTCCCCTAGTATTACTCGTCAATAAATGGCAGATTTCGATTATTACCAAGAAGTAATCATCGCGGCAAGTTAATTAAAATTCTGTTTCTTAGCGTTTACCTAGAAACTTTGCACCAGCTTGTTCAACACCCCGGCCGAGGTGCGGTTGGAAAACAGGAACTAAATTGGGGTGCACCGATTAATTAGAGTTCCGCCTTAACATGCACCTGAATGCAAACATAATTGACTTTAAGTCAGTTAATGAAGTGAATTCAAAGTTTTCTTCCTATTAATTTACGCGATCGATTTTATCGCCCTTTGTGCCTGACAGACATTGCTCGAGGTAAATACAGAAATAGGTTAACATGGCGCACGAATTAACCAATAGATAAATCTTAGAGAGAGGAAAATCGTGAAAATCTCGAATGTGAGTAATTTCACTAAGAATCACGTCTGACCTAAATTTCATTATAAGAAATTGCGGTGTAATAAAATAATTTTAAATTATAAGGCAATTAGTAAAGCCCAAGAGACATCTAAACTTCGTAGTATTATGATCATTAAAATTATAAGTAGATAGTTACGAATAATCAGAAAAAATATTCCTGAAAAGGGACTGTATTGCCGTGATCAAAAAGGAAACTGCTAAAAGTTGAAATGTTAAAGGATTACAGTTTCTATTTGTATATTCATAATTTATTCTGGGGTTACAGGAAAGTCCCTGCTGTATTACATTGGAAATGCAAAAGAAAATTTTCAAATGGAAGAGATTCTGGATTTTCTTGTTCCTTCCTTTTTGCCCTTTAGATTATTTATTTATTTATTGAAAACGCCCATTATGCATACAAAAAGATAACATGAGTGCAACATTTTTTAAATTTCATATATTTAATCATCAAACCTTTGCTAAATTATTTCTACATTCATATAAAGTAAGTGGTGCATAATCTTTCTTTATTTCCCCTTGTTAAAAACGTCCTCCAGTAATACTCAGAAGTAGTTACTCCTAGTTAAGCTCAGGAGCTATTCCTATCTCCTATATTTTTGAAAGTACTTAGTACATTGCCTAGAGATTATTAAATCAATTCCTTGTTTCAGGCTTCAAGCTGCAATGAAGTATTCGACAAGACTAATCGTCGTGTTGTATATACTAGCATCATTAAGTTCGACGTGTTTAAGCATAAAGACCAGAAAGGCGAAAGAACCAAAACGTGAAAAGAACAACACTCATCAGGTCGGCTTTTCCAACTTATGCACAATAGAAGATAACACAGCTGCATTCAGGTGTTTTTGTCATGGTGGTACGGCTCCCGGCAATGTTACCAATACCGAATGTTGGATTTTCGGAAGTCTGGCAAAGGACCACGAGGTGTGGTTCCTGTTCTCCTCGCAACCTCGACTGACCGAGTTGAAAATCATTGTAAGACCTGACGGTCAGCTTGGCTTCATTCCAACTAAAGCGTTGGAATATCTGAAAGATCTAAAGAGACTCATGATTTCCTACGGAAATGTCGACGTCATTCATCCGTACGCTTTTGCTAACTTAACGGAATTACGAGAATTAACACTGCCCAGAAGTCAGATAGCAAACTTGGACCACCATGCTGTCGCACATCTTCCTAATCTGACTGAGATTAATTTCAATGAGAATCGAATCTACCAACTGCAAAAAGATGTATTTGTCGATTTGCCTAATCTTCAAAAACTGACAATTAATCACAACAATTTGTCGTTTATACAAGAAGGCGCATTCAGGCAAGTTATAAAACTATTTAAACAATCCCTATATTTCACATAATAATTACCATTTCCCTGAAACTAAAACATCCCACATCCTTGATTATTTGTGAACAGTAATCTAATCTATATCTACCTCTACCCCTCTTATCTCCTGTTCCTGCTTCCAACTTCAACTCTTGATGTCTGAGAACCTATCTCGTCTATTATATAAATTAGTTATCAATTTTTCTGTTGTGTTCCAGATATCTGTCTCACCTTGTAGAACTGGAAATGAAGGATAATTTTATTACTGTACTTACGAAAGACACATTTACCGGTTTAAGTGAACTAAAACGATTGGATTTAAGTTTCAACAATATCAGCAGGCTTGGCGATCTAACCTTCGCAGAATTGTGGGTTCTTGAGGTAAGTAAAAATGGAATAGTTTTATGAAAATTTACGTAGAGACTTAAACAACCTGCGATAATAACAAAATTCTGTCAATATAGCATTGTTACAAAAATAAAAATTTATATGTGGTTTGGTCAGCCTGTAGGTGAAAATTTAATGCTTTTACTACGAAAAGGATAAGCAAACTATGTATTTTTTAATTTTTAAAGGTCCGAAGAAATATTGTCCTTTTTTTTACAGGAATTGATTTTGGAAAGAAACGATATCGAGTTTATTTCGGACAGGGCTTTTGCAGGATTGACTCATCTTAGAAAATTGGATTTGGGCCACAACAACCTGACAACGTTGGTTAACAACGTTTTCGATGGAATTCCAGCCATTTACTTCCTTGATCTTCGATACAACCATTTGCAAACGATAACATTCGAGAATGCTCGACCCATAATGCACAACCTTCGTAACAGGACCACCTACTTCTACATACAGGGTGAGTTATTTTATATTAACGTTATTTTTATTCATTCTATAACCACCTACGACAAAAAAGGATTATAAGTTTTACTAGTCACATAGTAATGACCACAATACCATTTGCTAGGATTCTCTCTAAAGTAATCCTCTTCAAACGAGGACCTACCTGTTATACATACGTATGTTAAATGTTCTTAATGAACATTAAACAAAATTGTAATATCTTGAAAGACAACTCTTCATAATTACTAGACCGGAGGGTATACACGTTGTTCTACCCCGTTTGAGTTCCCAAGTTTCTTGTTAATTATTTAATTAACGTCCTTAAAAACTTTGCCTCAACAGGTTTTGCTCGTACCGTTTCAGCTTGTTAACCTTCACAACAAATTTAAACGATTTAAACGTTTAGGGTTGGTGAAGAAACAGGTGAAAACTTTCAGCGGCAACCCGTTTAAATACTTACATTTACATTTTCCGCGTGGGCTTTGAGTTAACAAACTTTCAATCATAACGAGAAATGTTATATTAAATAATTCAAGGAGAGCGACGTTTTAAACTTGCAGCGGTTTGAGCTGCTCCATAAATAAACACCGTAGACACCCTTGGTGAAAAAATATTAAGGCTGTTAGTGTTGCATATGTCTTTTAATGTAAATATTTCATTTAACCAATGCGAAAAGAATAAATAGTTAGCATCAGAATTTCATTTTATAGATTTTTATTCTTGTGAAAAGGCGCTAAAAGAAATGCAAAATCATTTCTGTCAATCCTGTTAAAAACATAAACGTTTTGTTATCAATTTGATATTTAATTATGTCATCAGGTAATTAATCTTAGCTAAATTTTATCTATTTGTTTATATTAAACTTAGTAGATACAGAGATTGTATATTTTTCGTAGATACTTGTAAATTCATAATTATTGTAATGGAAAAACTCCCTGCTCTTGGATATTATCCTCGTTTTTCCTTTAAACCCCAATTATTTGCATAGACTAAACTAGAAGTCGTTTTAACTGTGTATTTCGCGTTGATGGCAGCAATTCATAAATAAAAACAGTCCTTTAGTTTTCCTTTTCGTCAAATGGTGTTAATGTAGCGTAAAAATTTGCATTTTCTGTAAAGCGCACGCTTCCGGTACGTTTTCATTTCGAAGTTGTGAGCAAAAACAGTCAGTTTGCATTCCAAACAGTTTCTGGTTTTGTCGACGGATACAATGTCGTGTTTGTTTACTCGTCGAGAGCCATTACAGCGGGATTAACTTCATGGACATTTGATTATTTACACGACATTGTTAAACAAACGTGCAAACAATTTGCCTTCACGCAGGATAAGTGCCTAATACGTACAAAAACGAAGATTTTGCAAAAGCTTTTTTCAGTTTTCAGTATAAGTCTTGTGTGCCGAATCTTTGGAAATAAGGATACACAAGGATGTTTTTATAAAATTTATTGTCACAAGAATATTGTTTCGGCCGACGCGGCCATTATCATGAGTATAACTGGATTACAGTAATCCAGGACTTTTTGAGACGTAAAAGGCTATTTAGAGAGATATTCGGAACAGAAAACAGGAGTGGATAAGAGAAGCATAAGAAGGCCAATATTACTCAAGGATATGAAATGTTGTAGTTTTCGGGAAATGCAAAGATTAAACGTGAATTTCTTTTTTTTTCGTAATACAGTAATGAACTTTTTGAAGAGAGCAGTATCTTTTTGTCAGTAATATGAAATAGTAGTTATCACCAACATTTCTATAGATGGCGATGTACTTAATGAAATTTAATACAGTTTCACTATTATTCAAAAAAGAGCTTATTTTTCTATACGTGCATATTTTAATATACGTATATATGTCAAACTTTCTAAACAAAATTGCATTTTGTGTTCTCTGGAAAATTTTCGGTAGATTGCCGTGCATTCGCATGTTGTTAAACGGTAAACTGCGAAAACTTTAGTTAATTTCATCACGTTACGTCGTCATTGTCGTTATCCTTTAGCTTCATTAAAACTATTCGAGTTTAAGCTGGGAGTTGAGAGTTTTCGAAGAAATTATGCAAAATTATGCATTGTTTACGAAAATCAGAAGCTTCGTACGCACTAACTGTCAGTCACTTATGCTACAGCTCTTTCAGACTTTGTAGAAATCATTAGAACGTTCATAATTTATTTCCTACGAATTCGTGCTTGTTTAACTATATTAAGTAAAACTTAAGTTGGAGTGATGCCACTGAAAAACAAAATTAGTAGTCGTATGTCAAATAAATGCTGTTAGTTTTATACAACACGATTGTAGCGTTGTCTACAGCTTCCAATTTTGTTACAAAATGTTACTAAATAATCTTATAGTTATCCTTTGTATTTATAAATCAAATGGCAATCATTGTTTCACTGAAATATTCAATTGATAAGTAATTGCAATTACGTACAAATCTGTAAGATGTACTTAACTTCTTTGATTTCTAACAGTCACATAAAAGCCAATTATTTTAAATGTCACCCTCTGCAGTAAAATTCGTGAAATTTTTTACAAGTAATGGCTAAAAAGTAAAACGAAAATAGAAGACGAAGAACTCTTGAAGGAAATAAGTTCAATCTAAGTGTCGTTTGCTAGCTCGCAGTTTCTATACTATGAAAGATTTACCACAATCATGTAATAGTTAGGAGTGTAGGTTTTCTGCAGTGTTTCGTTTGCCAAGAGGGCGCTGTCGAGAAAGCCACAACCGGAAGTGTCCTTCCCATTTGACACACATAAATTTTCGTAGCTGCGTTCTTCAACTAACCCGCTGAAATTATACCGGCATTCCGGGTATTCATTAAAAATTCGGGAAAGAAGCCAAATAAAGAAAATGAAGTATTGGAAGGAAATCCTAAATTAAATTCCTTTTCTACAGGTCGGTAATGCTACTGCTTGAAATTGACTACCTTTCGGTCTGAGACCGCAGAGGAAATTCCATTTTGTATGCAAATTTGTTCCTTTGAAAAAGTGCCACGCTCGTAATCACTTCTTTTCAGAGGGCCTCTCGATACCTTAGACTCTATTCTCCGGTTTAATTTAATGCGAATCGGTTTCCATCAAACTCGACTTTATTAGATATTATAACCGTTCGAATATCTTTGCGTAAATAGCATCCATCGGAGAAGGAGACCTTTAAAATGAAACATGACAGCGTCGTTTCTTTTTTAAGATTTTTGCTCTTCAAATTGAATTTCGTAAAAATGAAAGTTGGAAAAGAAATTGGTTTCCCATTTCGTTTATAACCGATACCTGTCCATTTATACGATCAGTGGCAGAACCACGACGTATATAAGTTTTCCTATGTTTTTCAGCTTCATGCCGATATAGAGATAGGTTTCTAAAGTTTAATTGTTTATGTGGTTAATCATTTCTTGACACGCATTTAGGACATCAACACGAGCTAAGACGCGGGTAAAAGCTTGTAATTACTGAAATTCTCCATCATTTTCAAATTCCTTTCTTGCATTAATCCTGCCATATCCACGTTGTGATAGTACATTCGGTAGGGAGCTGATCGTAAAATTAGCTTGGATACGTGCAATGTGCTGAAAGTTACAGATTTCGAAGTTCATTTCATAATTGCATAGAAAGCTCGCTTAATATTCCGAAGATTTACCCAAATTCCGAATAACAACGTCGAATAACTTTTCATATTCCATTTTGGCTTACTCAAATCCGCAGGTTCATTGAGTTTAGCGATGATAGTAATAAACGTAAGCTGTGGTAACAAAAGTTCAATATTGTTTGAGTGCATATGTCATACATAAGTTAACAGATTACAAAAATTCTTCTAAAATCTGTTGCATGAATACAAATGCACACCAGTCAGTTATAGAAACGGTAAATTGTGTTATTATCTTCTAATAAATTCTTGCAAAATGAGGACCAAACATAGCTAACTATGTTGGCGTCGGTACGTTGTAGATGTACATCTAGCTAAACGATTCCTTCAGGACTAGTTTTGAATAACAGATCTCGTTATCTTGTTCAAATCGAAACAATCTCATCATTCTTTTTCCGCAAAGCGCCGCGGTGGTACGCGAAGGTCGAACGCTATGGTACACGTATTAAATAAATTTTATGGCGGTTCGTTTTGAGCGTAGCATTTTCGGGCGGTAATGTAATGTGAATAATTTATGAATGATTACATACCGCGGATGTCGTCGCAAGCGACGGTATCATGTCGGGGCTGAAGAAACTTCCCATCCAATTTGATAACGACGACGATGAGACAAGCTGCCGGCGATGCGACGCTGCATCCAAAACCACCCCCCAAGTTTCAATATTCGTACGCGATGCACGCGGAAGTTTTAATGAAATGAGCAAGGAATCGTAAGCGCCCGTCGTCCCCCTGCTGCCGCCGTAATATCCTTCTAACCGACGCGACGACGGCCGACGTATGCGACGGCAGCGCTCATATGAATGTGGCGGTGATCGTTCATGAAACCGTAATTTACTAGGTATACATTTCCTTGACTTTTCGACGAGCCCGATGCAGTTTATGTATGTTTCGCGAACAAGATGATCTCTGCAATTAAATGATAAACAAATATGGGAGTTATGAATCCGCTATCTACCCACATCGCCTTTGAACGTGTATATGTACCTAAGTACAGTCTAATTAGAAACACTAGTATATACCATTTAGTTTAAATAAAAGCATCTAATTATCATCATTTAAAGACGAGAGATTAAATAACAAAACTTTGTGTTTCTTTGTTTATGGATTTTCTTCAAGTTAAAGCCGAAAATATTCAATATCAAAACATATTTTTTCAAGGAAATTATTATTTAGTAGTTGCCGAGATATCATTTGTTCGCCACTCGAGATAAAACTGTTCAGTCTCTCAGAGTCTCTAAAAGCGAGACTCGAGTCTCCGTCTCTCATCGAGTCTCTGTGGTGTCGTCGAGAGACTGTCAAAAAAACTGTTTAGCGTCTCTGAACGGGAGACTCGAATCTCTGAACGAGAGACTTGAATCTCTCAATAAATGTTGTCTCGA